TCTGTGTCAACAGAATTTTCACTCTCTTTCTTTCTTTCTCCAACTTTGTCCTCTTGTCTCTGGGTTTTCGCCTTCACTTTTACCTCTTCCTCCTGAGAAATTTTTTTTTTTAAATCACATCACATAGAGTGGTTACTTGTCACTTTTGGATTGGACTGGTTAATATCGTACCATACATAGAGACTGCAATAAAAAACAAAAGACTGACCGGTGCCTCCCAGTGGCCGAGCTGATCGATGTCTTTGATGTAGACATGATAATGACCTCCATAACAGCCTCCTTTATGTATGATGACAGAGAAGAGCTCGTACGAAGACTCTGAGTCCGGCCAATTGTTCTGTTAGAAACACAGCATTTGTTAATCCCTTGCTTTGAAATGGAGTTGCTGTGGTCATTATAGCTCTCTATCTAGACCTGTGCTTCTAGTTTACTAGTGATGAAAACGTTAGTCTCTGCTTGAAATAATCTAACAGCTGCTAACAGGATGGTAACTCTGAGCTTGCAGTGCATTCTACAATACATGACCAGATATCATACACTGTTCAGTGCAGAATCTCCATCAATAACACAGACTTATCTTACTTGGCTGGAGAGCTTGGAAAATGTATTTGGGTGTGATTCGGCTCTGGTACCTGCTCACAAAATGGTCTGAGGTTGAATGTAAGAGGAAAAACGTAGCGCCCGGTCTCTTTGTAGCGCTCACACTTGGCAAAGTCAAAGTTGAACCTCAACAAAGAAATGGTCAGGAATGGTGGAAGTTTTCTCAGTTTAGCAGACTGCAACAAAAGACAAAATTAAGCAGGTTTATAACCAACTACAGTGGTTCCCTTTCATGGGAACTTCGAACTGCGTCCTCTAGGGGTCGCTATGGGGAACGCCTCGTCGTGACCCGTGTCTCTGAATGTGTATCTAGAATAATCATTTAGTGCCATTCACGTTAATAGGGATCATATTACCGGTACATGTGGAATCAAATTTCCCTGATCTATAAAACTGTATCTATAGAATCCTGAAAAACTGCATCATGGATTTCATAAAAATATTAAGCACAACTGTTTCAACAGTGATAAAACAAAATGTCAACGCAGGGGCGTAGCCATCATTTCAGAAGCGAGGGGGACAGAAATGTTTTATATATATATATATATATAAAACATTACAATATAACATTTCTGTAATCTATATAACCTACCAGTCAACAGTTTTTGAACAGTATGATTTTTAATGTTTTATAAAGAAGTCTCTTCTGCTCACCAAGCCCTGCATTTATTTGATCCAAAGTAAGTCAAAAGCAGTAATGTTGTGAAATATTTTTACAATTTAAAATAACTGCTTTCTATTTGAATATATTTTAAAATGATTTCTGTGATCAAAGCTG